ATCCCAAATAAAAAAACGACCCCGTTCTACATCCATCCCTACTAACTATAAATAACCCCATCTCGCGAGTGAGGCTGTGTGTGTGTTGGTATCTACTAGTATCTACTACTACTAGTACGAGTACACATGTCGCGCTCCTTCCTTTCCCCCACTTCACTGCACTCCACCACCGTGGCTTAGGCAACCTGAAAGCCGGAAAAAAGTGGGCTTTGCCGACGCCTGACGCTTCCATCTTTCAATTCTCCAGCAACCAGCAAAATAGCGCCACATACTTTATAATTAAACCTGAGCTGTCCCTTCCCCCCCCCCCCCTCCGCCTAGCTGCATGGGTTACTTACCTTTTTTTTCTCTTTTTTTTTCTCTATTTTTTCTTCTTTCCCTGCTTATCCATTCTGAGGGGCTTGTTTCGTACAATCTATCCTATCCTATCGCAAGTGCAAGCGTCGTTTGCAATAACGCGAGGCTAACGCGTTGGTCGCGTCCTACATACCTACCCTAGCCTAGCCTACCTGCATAACACGCATATCGCTGTCGTTGCTGTTACTGTTACTGTTGTTGCTGCAGCTGTTGTAAGTAGTCACGTTTCTCTTTTTTTTTCAGGGGCTTGAAACTCAACGTACGTAACGTAACGGAACGTAACGGAACGTAATTCTTTTCACAGCGTTATTCATTCATTACACGTGTGCGCGCACCAGCCTTTTTTTTTCGTTCCTGTGCGGAAAAAGTATAGAGATTTTATTATTGACGTACGTACGTATGATATTATACATGTTGGGGGAGTTTTTGGGCTAATGCCGTGGTACTTAGCGCGTGCAGCTTGGCGGCTTGAGGTTTGGTTGGTTGGTGGGTGCTTTGCGGTGGTGCTTTTGAACCACTACTACGACTACGGCTACGACTACAACTACGACCACGACGAACGACTTCATTCCATCTTTTTGATATCTGTTGTGGAGACCGAGACAGCTACTGCTGACCTGGTTTTTTTCCACGGGTGTTACGTGGAAAAGAAGAGGGTTTTTGTTTAGTGAGAAAAAGGAGGGAGGGCGTTTTTGCGATATAGCGCGCAACCCTTTTTGCGCTTGAGAGCAGAGAGAAGAGAGAGATTTTTTGGGGTTGTTGAGGTGCTGCTGCACTTTTCATCACCAGTACTACTACCACTACCATCACCAAGAGTCTCACGCAGCTTTCCAATCAGTTCCTCGGCTCTACATAGTTCCCAGCACACCTACCCTTCTCCAGGCGAATTCTCCAAAAGCAAAAGTAAAAAAAGGGGACTCGCCAAGCATGAACTACGCACCCGTCAACCCTCCAGCCGACGACAATGCCGAGCAAGGAGAAACCATGTATACCGGCGGCGTTGGCTCGTCAGACTCGGCAGACTGCTGCACGCGCTGCATCAGACGCTTGGATTGTACGCTTGCGGGACCCTGGTGCATAGAGTCGCTGATGGCGTGCTTTGCGGGGATTGCGGATTGCATGACGGGATGCTGTAATGAGTGCTGTACCGAGTGCTGCAAGTGCTTTGGTTGAGAGGGGGAAGACGAAGAAGAATGGAGAGATGGAGGTGGAGAGAGGAGGGCGCGAGGTGGGCCAAAGGAAACGCGTTATGCGCTAGGTGCGCGAAGAGAGACGCGTGCGCAAAGCATAGAGAGAGAGAGAGAGGTATACACTAGCTATGCGCTGGGTAAAAAACATGCGAAAAGAAGACACGGATACGCAAGCTATGCGAAGAGAGGAAACTACGCGCCATCTCAATCGCCATGGTATCGCCCACCCCTACTTCATTACAAATCTATCTACAAAGTCTGGCTTCCAAGTCCTACCACACCAACACATGCACCAACACCATCACCGACCCCACGACTCAGCCATACAGACCAACCAGGTCCCAGGTATTACTCAGCTAGCATTGCAAATATATATATATATATATATATGCTTTTTTAATATTTTTGTCCCGCAAAAGTTATACTAGCACTACTGAACCACTACTAGCCAACCAACCAACTAACTAGCTATACTCCAGTCATATCAAAAGTCAACACATACAAAGAAAAAAAACCCACACACCAACCAGACCAGTCCCCGAGATTTTTCATTTGCAAGCGAGAAAAAATGGGGGAGGAGAAGGAGGAGGAGGAGGGGGAGGGGGCGCGTGCTAAGCGAAAGACAAAAGGGTATCTCATATTTCCAAGGAATAAAATGGGGGCCGTGAGCGAGTGAGCGAGAACAGTGGGAAAAAGGTATGTGTGAAACCTGCGAAAAGAGAAGCAGAAAGCGAGACAAAGGAAGAGGAGACGAAAGGATACGCAATGTCGCATGGATTAAATCACCATACGTATATTATAACAACGTTCACTTCCACGCATGCCGACTCAGCAACAGCTCCACTGCGCAATCGACGCGCAGACCGGTCCCCAGATCCGTCACGCGTAGTGCCTCGCGCGCCTGCTCGGGGGTAAAGCCCATTTCGACGATGCGATAGACGGCCTTTTCAGCCGTGTTCTCGTGACGCGGGGTAGCAAAGATCTGGCGCAGGCGGTCGTGCTGCAGCAGCGGGATGTTCATCGCGGGGGTGGAGTCGTTGTCTCTGCAGAACGCTGGGTGTGGTGGCAGCGTGGACGGATACGCGAATGGATGCGGGCTCGGGGCTACGGTGTGGGCGCGGCTCAAGGAGGTGTTGTGAGGCATGCCCGTGGCGTGGGGATACGCGGGCCAGTCGTACGGGTTGGATGCGGTGAATACCGAGGGCGTGGGGAGAAGAGGCTGTGCGAGTGTGCGGCGCGGAGTGTAGCTTCGGTTCGAAGTACTGCCCATGATGTAGAGATCGTGGTTGGTGTGCACGGTCGAGGCGGATGGCGAGGGGAGGAGTGGCTCGGCGACTACGCGTCGTGGAGGCGATGCAGGCGGGTTCTCAGCCCGTGCCTGGCTCGACATTACGCTTTGCTGTTCGGCCGCTGAGAAGACTGTTGACGCGGGTGGCATGGGCAGCAGTGGGCGGGCGACTGTTCTCCGGGGCGGAGAAGGTGTTCTCGAGGCTGGGAGTTCAGATACGAGGATTTGCTGCTCGGGCAAAACAGACGCTGATCGCAGTGCGGGAATGTGCGTGACGATGTTGCCCTCGGAGCCTTGAGTGGAAAGTTGAGGGCGAGACAAGTTCCTGAGCACTGTGTCCCACTCGGATAGAGGTCGGTCATGGGACATGCGAAGCATCAGGCGAGGGGAGCCACTTGTCTTGCGCTGGTGAAGCTCGTACATCTGCTTCTGGATGCGTTCCTTGGACTGCTGGAGCTGGACCTCGCGGGTAGACGTCTTTGCGTATTTGTTGGCAATCTTGTCCTCGTAGATACGCGACGCTGCTTCTCGGAGGAACTTCCGGCGCGTGGACCCGGCAAGCGGAGGTGTCCAGTTGACCCAGCCATTGCGAGCTGCAATGGTAAAGCCCGTGGGGTCAGAAGGGTGGTAGGAGCCCGTCAATTTCAAGACTGCGGCCGGGCCAAATGTCAGGATGTAGTAGCACCATTCATCTGCGTTGGTTAGCTAGTTGAGCGGTATGTAGAGAACAGAAACATACCAAGCATCATCTCCTCGCCGTCAATGTCCCCACCTCGGACATCAGTGTTTTCGTAGATGCCTGCCCGACGCGCTTGTACAGTTCGGCCCTCGAAGCTATGCAAAAGTACCGCCAGGCAGTTCCACAACTCCATCATATCAAAAAGCTGCTCGGCACTGAGGCCTCCCTCGTTGCCCTTGGCAAATGACTCCGACATACCAACCAATGTATCGTTCATGAAATCCGTGCCCGAGATGCTGAACGTGCAGGTGTTCTGATGGGCCAGGGTGCCTCCTTTGAGCCAGTCGATCTGCGCAACAAGGTCATCTTCGCGTCCCTTGCCTGAGCCGAAGATCTTGCAAAACGTCCATATGCGCCACAGCGCGTCGTCCACTCTCGCCGACTCGCGCGGCGACGAGCTCATGAGCGCAACCGTGATTTCCGGGCGGACAAACGACTGGCACTTTTCCAGAATCTCGTGCTTGATGGCGCGGATGATTTGGACGTCTTGTTTCTGCAGCTTCAAGTACGACATTGGGCTGTATTCCTCTTCCGGTCGCGTCATTTCCAGATCTTCTGCGTGCAGCATGTCGTGGCCAGGAAAGGCGATTTCTCGAAATTCCCAGGCCGGCGGCGACATGGTTCGGAGGGTCGACTTGATAAGCTCGAGTTCATGGCGCTTGAACACGCGGTAGAAACCATGGTTGACCAGGGCGGTAGAAAAGAGATCTTCAAAATGGTTCAGATGCCGAAAGATGCTCAAGATGACAGTCTCGGCGTCAGAGGCGGTAATGATGGGTTCGGCAATCGCGTCGATCGGGGAAGCATGCCGCGTGCTGGTCGGGAGTTGGGACAAGACAACATCAACGCTTGTTCTCTTGCATGACGGAATCATGAGCGTCAGTGGTTTGCTCTTGGTGGAGCGCTGTCTCAGAATCTGCGCAGCAATATGGTCCTGGGGGAGGAAAGCTGACTCGGAACCTTTGGATCCTGACCCACGTTTACTGGATCTGCGAGGCACCGGAGGGGGAGCAAGGTGGTCAAACAGAGACGATAGTTGAGTGGGAAAGGTTTCACTGTCGCTTTCGCTCCCAGTCGAGTCTGGACGTTCGCGCCACCGGAAAGAATCGTCTTCTGCAAGGGGTGTCTGATTTTGGCCATCTGTCCGAACATCACCGGCTCCACACCAGGTCAACTGCTTATGCAATGCATTCTCCGCCTCGCTTAGTGTGGGGCTATGCCCGCGTGGAGTTTCTGGCGAATGACTGGACCAGGTGTCGAGACTCGCTAGTGCATCCAGGTCGAGAGGTGGGCACGGGGGGATGATTAGCTGCGGGACGCTCCGTTGAGAGAATCTGCGCTCTTTTGTTGGCTCGCTCACTACGATATATGGCTCGTCACTTGTAGCGCTCAGTTCGAACGGAGCTTGTAAAACGACTTCTTTTTCGCAGACGGATGGGTGCATATATCTCCGAGGTGGGTTCCACGTCGGGGCTCTTAGTTGGGGTTTCTGGTCGTTTGAAGGCTTGGTTGTGTCCAGCATGGGATGTAGAGCGTTCTCCCGGATAAGAGCATGGTAGTCGGGTATATCCAAAGCCTTCCATGCTATTCCCTTCTTGAAGGAAGTATCGAATTCGGCGCTTGTCTTTGACGAACGGTAGCTTTCCAACGAGGCGTCGGTTTCCCGCGAGTTAACAGACGAGCTTGATGATGCAACCGCACTCCTGGAACGACGTAGCGGGATACTTGGAGGCGTAGCTTGACCCATCTTTTTCTCGACACCCCCAGATGAAGTGGGTCGTACGTGTGGGTGCGACAGTGGAGACACGCTCCAGTCGTCAAAGAGCATCTGGCTGGTCAACAGAGGCGATCGGCAGGGGTTAATTTCAAGCTCGTCGAAGCCTGCCTCGAAGAATGGGAGGGCGGGAAGGGGCTGGTCGCATCTCCCAGTGGGAATCACGGTTCTCGTTGTACGTTTCGAAAACTTGCTTGAGCCCTGGCTGTGCTGTTTAGTGTGAATAATAGGTGGTTTGTCTTCTTTGGATGGTTTGTCTTCTTTGGGTGGGTCTTCTTCTTCCTTTTTTCGCCGTTGAATCTTGCCCTCCTGGTACAGTCCAATAATGTCGGCTGAAAAGGCGTACTTGAGGGTCGCTTCGGTTTCGACGGGAGAGCTGTTCTTGGTTCCCCCGGACTTGGCGCCCTGCTTCCTTCGCCAGATGGATGCGCTCCTCGTAGGAGAGCTCGTGGCTGGAGTTTTCTCATCATCGGAGCGCCGTCGCTCTTGTGTCGCTATGTCTCGCTTCTCGGAGTGGAGAGCCGGGTCATCCTCTGGACCATCTGGGACTGCCCGCAGTACTGTAGGGACCTTCCTTGCACTCTTGCCTCTGAGCAGCGACGGCATCCTCCTCTTGGTTGGGTGGTGACAGCCTTTTCAAGACAGCGTCGAATGACGGAACGAGCTGCGGCAAAGACGGCCAGAAGATTAACACGCGGGGTGATAAAAAAAAAAGGGCGTTTTCGTAAGGACGGGCCTCTAGGGATTCGACTGGATATACCGGTTGTCCATGCTGGCAGAGCACGAGCTATACACTGTCCCAAGCAATCATAGACATTGCTCTAGTGAGGCGCTATTTGACACGTCTGGGGCCGAGGGCTGGTACCGCATGGCGGGGCTTCGGACAGAACATGCATCCTGCGGCTGGCCCAAGCTGAGGTGAGATGAGACCACAAGCAACTCGGTTTAGCATTTATTACAGCAAAGATGCGCAGCAAGGTTTGCAGGCGGACGAAACGGATGCCGCCGTGTCGAGTGATGGATGGCCGCAAGCAGACCATGACACCGAGGCACACGCACACGCACACGCACGCAGGCTCACAGGCATACCCATCGAGGCGGGCGGCTTTGAGAGTGTGGAGATACGTACGTATGTACATGCAGCAGCTGAAGCACCGCTCACCTGGTTCTGGATCGCAGGGGGGGGGAGGGGGTCACAGAGACAGCCAAGCCATGGTGTCGTTCGTCGGGGTCCGCCATCGGGCAGCCGCTGCACAGCCTTGGCGCGCTATTTGTGGAGCTGGTCCGTGCGACGCTAGTTTGGGGCCATGGAATGTGAGATAAGAATTCGCCTGGCAACACGAAGTGCGCTATGCCCGCCATCCCCAATATAACAACCTTTGGCCTATGTATAATCCCCCCATGTTGGTCAGGCATAACACAGCAATACATCCCGCGGCTGGCCTCGCGCTCACAGCCCACAAGTCGCTGGCCTCGTGCCTCGAGTCTGCCTTCGCTCCGCTTTCTAGAAGCTTGGCGCACGTTCGCCGTGCCAGGCGAGGTGCCATTTCGGGCCTTCATATTAGAGCCGAGAGCACGACGATGCCATCTCCTCGCCATCCAGATGCAAAAACACAGGCTAGTCCTCAAGCCGGCCATCACCAGTATGCCCGTTGGTGGCTAGGCGACTACGCCAGGTATACACAGGCTGGACGCCCTAAAGCAGATGCCTATCAGGTGTCGTCTAGTAACCGTTTAGGTAAGCCACAGCAGACTTGTTAGGTACACTCGGCGCTTCCCACTGGCAAGGCCCCGATTTTTAACCACCGAGTAACAGATCCGGATAAATACACGTGGAAAGATGTTCATGAACGCGACATGGTAGCGTTGCTGGACCAGCAGATACACATTTACCATACCCCAGCCGCCTTATGTAATTGCATAAAGCCCATCACAAAAAAGGTCACTTACTTAATCTCGCTACACCTGTATGTACAACGCAGGCCATTGTTGCTTGCGAGCTTTGGCTCTCGCGCCGAGTGCTGGGCTTGGCCACGCACGTCTTTGTGCTGAGTACTGGTACCCGCGACCGAGAGATACCGCGTGTTGTACCATTGGCGTTTCTTACTCGACACGACACCACCTTCTCCGCTATTGTGGATCTCGCCGATTTTTATGACTAACTGAAAAGTTCTCAACACTAGAACTGGGGTTGCATCATGGAAGCTAAAGTCCCGTCGAAACAATGGCGTCAAGTCCTGCAGACGTGAGGGCCAGCGAGCTATCTGAGCGAGCTACTACTGGTGAGATCCTAGGCAGAGCAGCAGGCGGGAGCGTATCAACGGCGAGTATGTATATGTACGTCTCGGAAGTATTCTCGCCTCCACTGGAGCCAGTCAGATTAGCGTTGACGACAACACTGAGATCGGCTGCATTTCAACAAGTAAGCTGCAGCGACATAAATGGCGCAACGGGTCTCCAAGAGGCACAGCTGCCCTCACAACACGGAGCGCACGTCTGCTCTGCATGCTCTACCAGCGGATAGATCGGCATATTGGGGAAAGCCCGAAGGATGCTCGGGTCTACTCCTCATATCACCTTAGAGAGAGCGGCCAAACCGTCTAATCCCTGGAGCGGGAGTAAGCATCTTGTGGATACCTCATGGATGCCGTCAAGCCCGTCATCCCCGCCGGTACAGGCCACTGACTATGTAAGCACTCATAACAACATACGTACTCTATGATGACAGGAACCCGGGCTCAGCAGGTCATCAAGCTAGCCTGGACCTCGCTGGTGCTATTCATTTCTTTTCCTCCTTTTTCACAAATCCTCATCCAAGTGCTGAGCTGCAGGCATATATCTTAGGTGTACGAGTAACATGTCTTTCTCTTGACTGACTCAAGCAATGCCCCAGGCACGGTGGAGACACTGGAAACCGAGCTTCGGCGGGGGAAGTCCATGCGCAATCTCTTGAGACACTGGCGTCTTTTTCGTCGTCGTTATGAGGGCCGCCTTTAAGAAACATTGATTAACAACGGTTAGAGTCGTTAATTTCAATGTTTAAATCAACCTCCTCTATGGAAGTGTACATGGCTTATTTTGCCGCATTTACTTTTCAACGTGCCGAACACCTACTTCGATAACACATACGTACGGTACATTGGCTCGACAACGCTGCAACCGCTGTACTTATGTACGATCAGCCGAAATACTACCGCAGAGATCCGCGCCTCTCTCTCTCTCATTGGCAAGCACAACTTCTGGGCGCTTATGCTCCGTGTAAATTGCGTGCGAAGAATACAGGTTGAGATTATCCGGTGCATTCCAAAACTTGGAAATAGAAGTTTTGCTAGGTTTCCCTGCCGGTAGATAATGCATATCCCACATCTACCACTTGATCCCGTACCACTCCATGTAAACATCGTGCTTGGCGTAGGTATCATTGATTGTTCGACATCAACGCGACCGCGCTGCCAAGATATGATTACATGAATCCAAAAAGGTGTATTCCATCAAAGTAGGTAACAAAACGCCGTTTAACATTTGGTATCTAGTCCCAATACTCATTTCATTATCCATTCACTTCATTATTCGTGGCAAGCACCATGATCTTGCCTTGTTGTCACCCTTGTTATGCTTTAGCTCCCCGGTCGCCGTTCCTGCTGCTTACTAACAGAACTGGGGCTAACGACCCAGTAACACGTATAATACACAAACCATAATTATTCCATATTCCTACCTAACCCCCTACCCCTGTAATTGCCGTAAATATCTCTATCAGGGTGCCAGGTATGCATATGAAGTGTAAGCACGCGTTTTACGTAGAATGCGATTCCCAAACCTGGACGACGGTTAAGAGAGTAATTTTTGTCTTGTGAGTGGTTTTTAGCGTACCGATGCAGCGGATTTTGAAGAGGATCATATAGCTGATACGCAGCCTGGAAAGATGGAGAAGGGAGAGGCTGAAATAGAGAAGTAAAGCCTGCAATAGCTCTGGTTAGTTGAGACCCAGGCTGTGCTTCAAAGTAATTGCCGCCCAACCATTACAACAATGATTCTTCCATTCTCTTCATTCATTGTCACTATATTCTTCGGCCCTATAATATAGTTATAGAAAACTACAGGATATACTACACTTCACCTAATCGCTCAAATCCAGCACCACCCTCCCCTTCAACGTACCCTGCTCCATTTCCTGGAAAACCTCGGTCAACTTGTCCATTTTCTCTGTCCTAAAATGCGTCTTGATGATGCCGCGTGCCGCAAACTCCATCGTCTCAATTGCCTCCTGCCGCGATCCTACAGCCGACCCCACAATCTGCAGTGAACTCGCAACCAAGAGACTCGGTACCGCGCTCTTCATTGGGACAGACTCTCCCTCTGGGATGCCAACGCAGACGACACGGCCGCCAAAACGCAGCATTTGTGCTGACTGGGCATACGCCATGTTGCTGGCAGTGCAGACGACGACGGCGTGAGCACCAAGGCCGTTTGTAAGCGATTTCACGGCCTCAACAACGTCTTGGTCGCCGTCCACGGCGATGAAATGCTCGGCTCCACTCTCCATGATGATGTCTTTCTTGCTGCTGTGATCAATGCCAATGACGCGGTGCCCGATTCCCCGCGCACTGAATTGCACGGCGAGATGGCCCAGACCGCCGCCTGCTCCAGAAATAACTACCCACTTTCCGGATTCGGCGTTGGTCTTGCGCAGCGCTGAGTAGACGGTTACGCCCGCGCAGAGCAGTGGTGCCGCCGCATCCGAGGGCAGGGCGTCTGGGATGGGTGTGACGTAGTTTGCGGGAGCGAGGACATACTGCTGAAAGGTTCCTGGGGTGTAGTATCCCGAGACTTTCTGTTGATAGAGAGTTAGTAATCAATTTTGTTGGGAGGGTAGAGTTCCCGCTGTGGGCCTTTTTCCCCGCATGTGGAATTCTGCTCTTTTCATCGCTTCTCCGACTTCTCGAGTCCAAGACGATGAGATTTGAGCAAAACGATGAGAACCGAATTGTGCGTTTGAAATGGAGAGGAAAAATAACAGGGTAAGTGTGAAGAAGTGTACTCACCCCGGAAAAACAGCTGGCATCCACACCCGCCCTACACGCCTCACACGCCTCGCAGATACCAGCCATCCACTTAATCCCCACTCTCTGTCCCAACCTGACAGCGGCATTGTCGGTACCCGGTCCCATCTGCACAATTGAGCCAACGCCTTCATGACCGCCGACCTGCCCTGGTTGCGTTGGGAACGGCAGTGACTTCCAGGAATTTGTCATGACGCCGAAATCCGAGTGGCAAACCCCCGAATGCGTGAGATGAACGAGTATTTCTCCCGGGCCAGGCGTCGGCATATCGAGCATAGTTACAGCCGTAGAGACGGAGCCCGGCTTGTCATAGATGACGGCCTTGTATTTGGCGGGGAGGGATGGTGGAGCAGCAGCCGCCATGTTGGTAGAGTGAAAAATGGTTACGGGTCAAACTTTTGTGTATGGTCGAGGGGATGTAGGTGTAGATTTCAAGTCATGTAGCTGAGTAGACCAAGTCAGCCCCTCCCTTTTAAACTCTTCTTTGGGAAAAAAGGAAACGGATGAGCATAAACGAGCTGAGTCTACGCGAGTTTATCACCAGGCTGACTAAAATATCTGGATCAATACCTTCTAGGTCATATTAGTACAATGGAGTCGAAACACGGCAGATCAGAACAAGGTTTTCTGTCAGCGACTGGTGGCGAAATATTATCCAGCCCCCCCCCCCCTCTGCATTATGTTGAACGGCATCTCATTCTTGCTTTTTTGCCCCGCACTCTCTACTACTTACTTATCTCACATAATCTTAGCACACCAAATAATCCCCCTCACTATTGACTTATTTACAGCACCTCAACACCTCAACACACCCAGATCCATTCAAGCAACGAGTCCGATAACAACGGCTCAATCAAACAAGCCGAGGTCCAACCCCAACATCGGCATTTTGATCCTGAAGACGTTACCCAAAAGAAGGAAAGCTCCATCTTGTCTACCCCGCATCCCGGGACAAACACGGCAAACGGACAAGAGGCATGCGATGGTGGGGGGAAACCAACCACGACTACTCCGCACATGGCCTGCCACACTACGTCAATGCGCGTTGTGTCATACCAATACTGATACCGTGCCCTCTCTTTTTTTTCATGGAGCACATGGTCTTGGCGCTTGGGTCGGTACTCCCGCACCTAGTAACTTGTGCGTGTGCGTGTGCATTGCATGTGGGGGTTGCGAGTGCGAGCGGGATATACAAATTTATGGTACGGAGAAGTGGTACACACAGCATGCATACGTGGTACATTCAAAGGATAAAAAAAGCACTGCATTCTACCAACAACACATTACATACACATTACATTCACAACTCTAGGTAAATCCGGATACACGGAAACACCACAGTTCCGGCACGTCTCCCTTCCCCGCACAGGCACCCCGCCGCCTAGCCCCAGCTACTCTCCACCATGGATATACGTGTGCGTGCACGTGTACTATGTGAATACATACGTTCCTGTTCCTCTCTAATCGGCTACTGGGTAGTTCGGTACCAGCCCATGCAGCCTGGCAGCACTACCACCCTGTCAACCGAATATATGTGCATACAACCGTTCATCTCTAATTTATCCTAGGACTACGTGCATGCCTGATATTGTGTATACCACGTGATACATCAGCTAGCTATGAAGCCAAGTATAGTAAGCGTAGTGAAATCCGCCGTGTTAGCATGTGGAAATCATGCATGGAACGAATAAAAGTTATGGCACCGTTTATTTTATCACACTACCAGTGATGTCCCCTTGACTGAAAACGGCGAGTTAGTCATATAGCACTACGGCGTTAGCTCCCTATCCATTTTTTTTTCTTTTTTTCCAAATGACAATCGCTATAGACTAAGATTTCGCGTTTACTTATATACACATACTGTGCGGTATCTAGACGACTGACTGTATTCACAGTAAATGCTATACTTACAATGCACAGATATCATAATACTAGGCCATGCATATAAACAACGTCCTCTCTCTCTCTTTTACTCTCTCGCTCTCTCACGTGTAAACGCAGTCCAACACACCCAGCAGCCCATCAAACCACCTCCATATACCCCCTTCCACCCCTCTCCCATACCAAAACACGCTCACCTCCACTCATTACATACCCCACCATCCGACCATGTTAATCTCAGCTAAGTAGAACCTCCCGATCCAACCCCAACCACATCACCCAAGTAGCGCGTACAACGGCTTTTCTTCCTCCATGCGTTATCCCTGCCTTTACTTTTACTTCCACTTTTCTTTCCCAGTACATATGATCACACTCACACTCACACTTGTAGAGAAGTGGAATCCTGATTCCGCTTAGATAGCAAGATGTGATTACACATCACTCAACCCATACATAACGTGGTTCACAAGTGAGTTGCTAACCCAAGCGAGTCGCTAACGCCCCACCACTATATCTACATCAACACGTTATTATAGTTTTTTACTATAGTACATAAACTATTATAATAACGTATTCCATCACCGAGCGGGCCACATCACCGAGTGTGCCACTTTTTCTTGGCATCACGAACTTCACGTACGAAAGATAATGCCCCAACAACAGAACGCGATATTCACTTAGCAAGAAGGTAGGCTTACTTTAGCTATTTAGGCCTATTGTATAGGCTAGTTTAAGAGTATTCAACGCGCTATAGCAGCCTACAACGTCTATTATTAGTAGATCTCTTAGCGGCTTTAAGGAATCACCTTTTAACCTATAACATAGCTAAATTGCTAGAAGCTAACTAAGTCTAAAGAGCAAACTATTATATAATATATTCTTAACCTAGACTTACAAGGATTTGCCCTTTGTCTATATAAAGTAGCAGATATAGCGGAGAAACTACTACGCAAATGAGATAGTGAGCCTTTAGGCAAATGCTAGGTAGAGCGGTTTATTACTTATATAGACGAGCTTAGAATAGCCTTTAGTTAAGTAAAGGATTATTAAAGAACTTAATAAGAGAATCTAAAGATTATTAACGCATAGTTTAAGCTTATATAAGAGACATTTAAGAAGTATAGAGTTTATTTAGACAATATCTATAACTTTAATAAAACTAGCTTTTAGATAGGCGTAATTGGCTCAATAAAGGTAGTCATAGGCGCAGAGCGTCGTACGAGGCCTACTCTCACGCAGCTAGGCAATCGCGAGTGGGTTATAGTTATCTAGAGCATCTGCGCTACGGGATACGCTACCCCGCTATTTATTATCTACAAAGGATACGTCTATATCTCTACATAGTATAAAGAAGTGGATATATTATACAACTAGAAAGTAGCGTACTAAGTCTTATACGCGTTAAAAGTACTTCTACTTAAGAGGTAAAAAGTAAATAACGTTAAGTAGCTAAAGTATATATAATAAATAAGTAGGTATAACGTACCCCACGGGTTCGCGAGCCACACGGGTTCGCGAGCCACTTTTGCCAAGCCCTCACCAAAACCAGTACATTATGTCCTAAAACAGCCCAACTTTAGCCAATATAGTGCAATAAAATACAAAATGCTATTTAGAGACTACTTCTGCTACATTCTTACAAGTTCGCGCGTTATGCCTAGTCCTATTGCACTGTCCACACCGCTGTTGAGACGGTTCACCCACTTCAGCGCGCTTCTGCTTCTTTAACTTCTTCCTATCACTACGCACCCTAAAGTCCTAGAGAGCAGTTAAGCGCGCTCTATCTTTAACTGTTAAGGTCCCCTCCGCCTAAACCCGCTTTCTTTTATGCGATTTTCGTCGCGTTGCGGCCTTATTTGCTACTTTAAGCTTAGCGATCTCCTTTTACGCCAACACTAGCTTATACGCGATAATTGCTGCCCCCTTTAAGACCTTTTTAAAGGCCTCTACAATAGACGTTGGCGAACTATTCGTATGCCTCTAAATCCTCTGCTTTACTAGCGTCGATTGCGACCCTAATTCTAGGGTATTGCTAGGCGTTTGCGACACCTAGGGCTGGTTGTCGATAGGTAGGGGTGATGGAGTGCGTAGCTTGATATTAAGCGTTGATATAACCTATTCTAGGTTAAATAGGACTAATCTAGCGCCTTGAAACCCTCCTTAGACATTGCTAGCTGTAAATGAGGCGTTAAAAGCCCGCTTAAAGCAAGATAGGAACTCTTGTTTGGTGATGTGGCTAATCTGGCTGCGCATGAGCGATTCGACTTGGCGCCCATAGGCCTGCTTTAAAGGGGCAAAACAGCCTATATTAAGAGGCTGCAAGAGGTGGGACGAGTGCGGAGGCATGCAAATAGTCATAATACCCTAATCTTTGCAGTACTTTTGGAAATCTAGCGAGTTATGGCTCTTATGGCCGTCAATAATAAGTAGGCAGTAGATACTAACCTTCTTTGTCTTTGTATGCTTATTAAAGTGCTTTAGCCACGCAAGACCAAGCTCATTGGTCGTCCAGCCGTTCTTAGAGACTCCAATAACCCAGTTCCGGGGTATATCGCCGTCCTTATACTAGCTTAAGAGGTGGTGGCGCGCCTTGAGTATAATGAAGGGCGGAATCGTCCACCCGGTCGCATTGATGCCCTGGATGACTGTTGCCCACTCTCTATTGCCAGGCTGGATAGTCTTTGGTCGTCCACGTCTCTCTAAAGCTGTAACAACAGCTCTAGGGGCAATCTAGCCCATCATAAAGCCGGTCTCGTCAAAGTTGTACGTGTCGTCGTCTACAATACCATACTTGGCTTTCATGCAGGCTACTAGGTTAAACCAGGCCTAGATGGTCTTAGGATCCTCATAGAAGGCTCTCTTATAGTCGTACTTGCGATTAAAACGCGTCACAAGCTTAGATTAACGTTTAACGAAGGTACTAGGCTAGTTTTGGCCAACCTGGTCTAGATTACGCTTAGCGCGCAAGGAATTAGCTATATTAGCCACGTCTGCGAGCTAAGGGGGAAATCTACGCGTAACTAGCTTGAGTATATGCTTAACAATTACGTCCTCTTTAAACTTAGTTAGATTCCTTGTTTTTAGCTAGCGATCTGCCTATAAAGGTCGTCCGTCGCGTCTTTGGCTTAGTGTTATTCGATCTACGTTATAGATAGCTGCAGCGCGTCGTAGAAAGAGAGTTGTATCTTGTTTAAGAGCTTAAAGAGCAAGCTGTATCTAACATTCACTAGAGGGCTGTAACTGCTGTTGTTGTTGCGACATTAGGGTGGGGTAGTAGTTTTGGTGAGGGCTTGGCAAAAGTGGCTCGCGAACCCGTGTGGCTCGCGAAGCCGTGGGGTACGTTATAGAGCGTAAGGATCTTTTATATAAGGCAGTAATCCTTAAATTCTTAGTTAAGGTAGCTCTTATAGCTATTAAGGATAAGTAGCCTATTGTTACAAGTAACAAGCAGAAGGATTCTTCCCTTGTTGGAATGGCGAGTG